GCCTGTCACTAAATACAACTACCGGGAACTTACAAACTCTACTCTTATTTTGTGCAGATATGAATACTCAACGAGAAGGATCGTCAACTACTCGCCCACCTCTCCTAATCGGATCAAACTACTCATATTGGAAATAAAAAATGAAGATGTTTATCAAATCCATAGATGAGAGAGCATGGCGCGCCATCATAACTGGTTGGACACCTCCCATGGTCAAAGGAGAAGACAAAATGGAAGTTTTCAAACCAGAAGCAGATTGGAGTGATGTAGAGATACTACTCGCAAACTACAACTCAAGGGCCCTAAACGCAATATTTAGTGGTGTTGATGATAATCAATTTAAACTAATAGCGTCATGTGACTCTGCTAAAAGAGCTTGGGAAATCCTTCAAGTCACATACGAAGGAACGTCAACTGTGAGGACGTCGAAGTTACAAATGCTGGCCACCAAGTTCGAAAATTTGAAGATGGAAGAGAATGAGACGATCACTGACTTCCATGCTAAATTATGTGATATCTCCAATGAATCATATGCACTCGGTGAACCTTACTCTGAAAGCAAATTGGTGAGAAAGGCGATGCGCTCTTTACCTGAAAGATTTGCTTACCGAATTGCTGCCATTGAAGAAGTCAGAGATGTTGACACGCTCAAACTAGACGAACTCATGGGGAAACTTCTGGCACAAGAACTCAATCATGGTGAAAATCATCGTGAAAAGCCTAGAGAAAAGAAGATAGCCTTTCAAGCAGAAACTTCATATGCAACACCCCAAAATTCGTCAACTCAAGAAGATGAGCAGACGGTAGAGGAATCCTTGGCAATACTATCGAAAAATTTTGGGAAATTTCTCAAAAAGATCGGTAAAAGGGGAAATCTTACAAGCACAGGGAAAACCGTGAACGTTCAAAATTCGAGGAGAAATTCAAATCAAGATAACTCAGAGGAGTCAAAACCAAGAAGAATACAATGTCGAGAATGCGAAGGCTTTGGTCACATTCAATCAGAATGCGCAAACACCCTGAAGAAAAAGAAGAAAATATCACTTACTACTGTTTGGAGCGATGAAGAAGAATCTGATGATGACCAAGGAAACAACGATCAAGTCACTAACTTTGTAGCATTCAGCAGCAAAGTTCCTCTGGACAACTCAGAATCAACTGTTGCTTCAACTGTTGCAACAGACTGTGAAACAGAATCCAGGTATGAAAATATGTGTTCTGATTATGACAAAAATCTAAACGAAATTCTTCTTTTGCAGAGGATCCAAACAGCAGCAGTGATGAGGAAGAACCAACCTTGGATGAAGTAAAGGAGGTATATGAAAAAATGTACCAAAAATGGCTCGACGTCGTTAAGTAAATACTTCCTGAAAAGAG